GATGTCTAGATTTATCCATCGTGCGGGCTTCGAGTAGAACTTGCAGAGCTCAGCGTCAAGCCACTAATGAGGGCACTCTAAGCATACATGTCAGAAGCCAGCCTTGTGGCAGAATAGTTTTCGTACCAGATAAATGCATGTCATCACAGACGATGTATCGCCTCCGGTATTAGTCCGCTTTGAGCGCAAAATGTTTTGCATATCCGTCTGCCCTGGGCTTGGGGAAGACTTGCGATGGACGAGGGGTTTGCGAAGATGATTTCGTCTGTGCTGGCAGTATGAAGATAATGTGGGTCAACTGGAACAGGCACGATGCATATTGCGGGTCCACAACGTGAGTATGGCGTGCTGAGTGAGACCTTGCCGTCCTCGTGGTTTGTACCCAGCCATGGCTGGTATAGAGTAGATGATATCCTGTCCTTTCAGGTCAGTTGTTTGCCAGAGTCCGCCATCCAGAAAGCAGTCGCGCGGCGATAATCTGAACAGGGTAAGCAGAAGTCAAAAGTAACCTACAACCCGGCCCGATCAGCTAGAGTTTGGCATCGCGCTCTGTTGACAGCAAATTGCGTCATACTGCACACTTGAGAAATTCACGACAGATGGGCTCTACTGTGGCGCAATATTTTCCGGTTATTTTGAACGCTCCAAAGTCATCGCAAGATGCAAGTCACCACACCGCGAAAGCACAAAACAATAACACCGCCAGTTTCAATTGTGTTGTGATTGCCTTCCTAATCTTGACGTCTTTGTTACGTAGCCTCATTCATTTTGTTATTTGCAAGTCGTACAAAGCATATGCTGTACTTTGTTATTGTATGTAGATTTCTTTCAACTGTGAAGCTGTTGTATTCCGTCGTCGTCGCGACGTCTGCGCACAACGTCACCGCTTTTGGGAATTGTCACGTGCATTCGGCTTTATTTATCTTTCTCCCAGTGTCAGTGTCACGTCTAGTCAGCTTCACTTCTTACCACCTCCTCATCGATCTACTTGACATTACTGAGCCTCGTACAGCCAGTTACAGAGCAATCCTATTATGTCTTCTGACTATGAGATTTCTGACGACGATGAAAACTACTACGTGGACGATGAGGACTCGGACATGATAGATGGGACACAGGACGGTGAGTTTAATTCGACCTGGCGTCGGAGTACATTTACCGTTTGCTTATTGGTGGGCGATGAATTCAGAAGACGACGAGGACGACATTGATATGGATACATTCGGAGACGATTTCAAAGTCTCCCCAAAGAGCAAGCGCAAGTCGTACGAGATCGACCATCAGTCTCTTAGCCAGACTGCCGTCGAGGAGCTCATGCAGTCGGACATAGAACACATATGTGGCATATTCGGGGTCGAGGTGAGTACTTGCCATTTCATGTGTTCCGAGTGCTGAAGGCAAACACGCCACACAGGCGAGCACCGCAGCGCTTCTACTGCGGCACCTGTCGTGGAACAAAGAGCGTCTAATTGAGAAGTACATGGACAATCCGACCAAAGTCCTTGTTTCCGCCGGAGTAACCGTCGAGGAACCGCCAGCCCAATCTGCGCCGATCCGCTCCTCCTCAAGCACCACCAGCAAGCGCACAACCCGTTCCACCAAACTCCTCGGTCTAGCCTCCGGCTCGGGGTCCAAATCCCCCAAAGCACCATCTCCCCCACTCAAAGCCTTAAAACCCTCGAAATCCCTTCCCTTCATCTGCCCGATCTGCTACGACGACTCCGCCGATCTGCGTCCACTCGCGCTGGACTGCGAGCACCAGTTCTGCTCGGGGTGCTGGACCGCGTACGCCAGCTCCAAAATCAACGACGAGGCGGAACACACGATCCGGTGCATGGCCGAGTCGTGTGCGCTCATCGCCCCGGACATCTTCGTCAACAACCTCCTCGTGCCCGGGCCCGGCGCACCTATAGGCGACCCCGCGGAGGAGGCGGAGAACGCGGCGACGTGGGCGCGCTTCCAGGAGCTTCTCGTGCGGCACTTTGTTGCGTCGAACCCGAATCTCAAGTACTGCCCGTACCCGTCGTGCACCAACACGGTGTCGTGCCCGGGCGCGGCGTCAAAGTCGAGTCTGATCACGGTCGTTCCGACTGTGTCGTGTGGGGCACGTGGCATTGGTGGTACGGGACAGATGAGCCAGAGTCAGCAGCTGGGTGCGGGACTTGCGGGCAAGGAGCATAAGTTTTGCTTTGGGTGCGCAATTGAGAGTGATCATCGCCCGGTGGTGTGTGCGGTTGCGAAGATGTGGCTCAAGAAGTGCCGGGATGATAGTGAGACGGCGAATTGGATCAAGAGTAACACCAAGGAGTGCCCGCAGTGTCAGAGCACGATTGAGAAGAACGGTGGTTGCAAGTGCGTGTTGCCGTCTCCTCCATCTGTGGTCTTCCGTTGCGATAACTGTGTTTTGAAAGCCATATGACGTGTAAGAAGTGCAAGAACGACTTCTGTTGGGTTTGCATGGGTACGTAGCGCTTTCTTCTCGCTCTATTGTTTTGCTGAGGATTAGAAAAGGCCCTTGGTCAGAGCACGGAACCGCGTGGTATTCGTGTAACCGATACGATGAGAAGAGCGGGGCCGACGCGCGAGATTCACAGAGCAAAAGTCGCGCTTCCCTCGAACGGTACCTCCATGTACGTATCTATCCAATTTCCTCAGCAGGATATTCACACCTCCGTACGTAGTACTACAACCGATGGGCAAATCACGAACAATCGGCCAAGCTCTCTGTTGAGCTCTACGCCAAGACGGAGAAGAAGATGGAGGACATGCAGGTCACGTCGGCGCTGACCTGGATCGAGGTGCGTGGCCTTTCCCTGTCCACATGTTGACTTCCGGATTCTGAGAGACTGCGCTCCAGGTCCAATTCATGAAGAAGGCTGTTGAGGAGGTGGACAAGTGTCGGACAACGCTGAAGTGGACATACGCGATGGCGTATTATCTTGCCAAGGGCAACGAGAAGGAGTTGTTTGAGGATAACCAGCGGTGTGTTGCCTTTCCTTCGTCCTTGGTTGTACATTGATTGATGATGCTGCATAGTGATTTGGAGAAGGCCGTCGAGGATCTTTCAGAGCTCCTGGAGTCACCCATCGAGCCGGAGAATATTCCCACTCTCAGGCAGAAGGTGACTGACAAGACGGTGCGTTTCTTTCTTTCCGTGATTTTCCAAGGACACAGTCTCATCACATCGTGTGATGCACTTCAGGTCTACGTGCAGAAGCGGAACGAGATCATGCTAGAGGACACCGCTACAGGCTTCTCCGACAGCCGCTGGAAGTGGAACATCGACGTCGACGGCTTCGACGCGCCGGAGAAACTGGAGAATTAGCTTGCGCGAGTCGCCACTGGCCTGTCATCATCATCATCTGTTGGTTTTCGTGGAACATGGATCCCGGTTGCTTTGCAGCAAACACACACAATACACTTTTCTCTTTCTCTCGTGTTTCTAACCTCCATCCCAGGTCCCTACTCGTATACATACATACATACATACTCGGTCATTGTTGCTCTGCCACCTCATGCCTATTTATTGTCCGTGCCCTGCTCTATCATATGTTTCGTCTCGCAAATCAATAATAAGTACTCGTAGCACTCTCACTATATGTCCGATTGCGAAAGGTCGGAAGTATCATGCGATTTGACCTTGCAAAGGCTCAAGCGCTCATGGTTTTTTGTACGCCTGGGATTCTCTAGAGTCGTGACAGTGCGAACAGTTGGATGGGAAGTATAGACACAGTAGACTAATATATATTAAGTCGACACCAAACTCAACGGAGGCGACGAGCTCGAATTGAAGGGGTAAAAGAAATTCAGAAAGCCGATCACTCCCTAGGAATGGACACACCCGGAATTGAACCGGGGACCGCCCGCAGACAAGGAGAACTTGCTAAGCGGGCGTGATAACCAACTACACCATGTGCCCGTGGAGGAAGACACTTCGTTACATCTACCATTCATATTGGCAGAAAGGATTCGGCTGCCTGTCCCGACGCCACAACGCCGTGGACCTTTAAAAGTTTCTAGGCTGTCACTGCCTCCAGTATCAACCACACGCATGTGAGCGACGGGCCAAATCTCAATACGTACCAGCAGAATTGGATTTCCTGCTTGAAAAGCGCAATGTCGGAGGTCGGCAATCGGGAGAAGCACACAACTTGGACCTGTACGACCTGGTCAGCCACTCGCCAGAATGCATAAATAGCAGCTGAGTTTTCTCAACCCCCCATTCCTTTCTTCTCCCTTAACCCCCATCTCTCTTCTCCTCTCTTCTCATCCATCTTCAGGCTTCAGCTGAGCGACATCATTGCCACTTAGCGTGGTACTCTTGTCTCCACGTACGCCCTTCGTCGTTCTCGTCGTTGCTTTCTCGATCTTATCCTTGCTTTGCTCCGTGTAGTACGTGATGCATTACCTTGCCGTCGTCGTTTTGGCTGATCACCCTTCCTCTTGTAGTGTTTTCTGTATTAATCGATCCTCAGCAGGTCTGGGGCACTTCATGGCGACGGTATTCTACTTGTGCGTTCGCTCACCATCGTTCGACGACTGTGGCTGACCCTCATACCTCCGCTCAACCACTACTCACCCACCATCTATCTAGCTGCAGAGGTCGCGACTAGAGACTGACGAGTCGTCCACCGTTCGGCACTACTATCTCTCTGGGCTCGTAGGTGTTCGACATGCTGGTCCTGGCTTCGTGCGCGATGTATTCATGGCTCTCGATATCCGCCTTCGCTTCCACCATGCCTACTTCAAAAGCGCCTACCCTCGTGCGCACGATACCCGCGACGCATCGACTTGACTGCATCTCGCACCCCACCGACCGGTCTTTTATTTCTCTCCCATCCGATTGGCCATCGGACGGCTCCTTTTGTCTTTGGACTTCATCGCCCACCCTCCTGTACCCGCGACACTCGACGCGGACTTGCGCTCATTCCTACGGTGATCTTTCCTCAGCTCGAGCCTCTCGCACCAATCGTCGTCCGCCCCAACTCGCGTGACAACACTTTCAGACTCTCCTCTTTTGGATCGACGTATACCCGCGGAGCTCACCTCTCGCACCGACTGGCGTCCGCCCCACCTGGCGCGACAACACTTTTTTCCCTTCTGTATTATAGTATATGCCTGCGAAGCTCGACCGAGACTGGAACTCATACGGGATCGGGCGGTTCTACGGTGATCCGTCTTCAGCTCAAACCTCTCGCACCGACCGGCGTCCGCCCCACCTGGCGCGACAATACTTTTCTCTTTTGGATCGACGTATACCCGCGGAGCTCATCTCTCGCACCGACCGGCGTCGCGCGAAGCTCAACGAGGACTGGACTCATACGGGATCGGGCGGTCCTACGGTGATCTTTCCTCGGCTCAAGCCTCTCGCACCGACCGGCGTCCGCCCCACCTGGCGTGGCAACACCTCAGAATCTTCTCTATTACGTCTAATGGACATTAGATAGTGGGGTTTTTTTTTTGGATCGTCTCTCTTTGATTCGTTGTACATTCTTATTATCAGTCTCTTTGGATGGAAGAAAAGTGTTCGGTAATCTGCGACTCGCGAGTAACCTCGTCGGATGCTCAATGTTGCAGTAACTTAGGTCGAAGCAACATCGATTTTCACATACTTTTTTGATTGCTGCATAGCTATATCGCATACAGAATGTGAGCGGTCGTGAACTTCGCCTGTCTTCGATGTGGAGCGATCCCTGTCGATGGAAGAACGTGTGGCGTAGTGCTATAGCGGAATAGTTGGATTGTGTAATATAACAAACGACAGCGATCCATGCGTTCCAAATCCATTCCATGGTCCATGTTCCGTCCAGCGCAAGCTGCGCACCTAACGGCAACGCCAGCGTAATGCCTAAGTATTCACCCGAGAGTGTCGACTGCGTCCCAATTCCTTGGAAACGTAGTGCCATATGTAGTGCGACCAGCCTTCCATCACCCCCGAGCCGACAAAGATATGTAGGCAGTCGCCTGTGGCATGCTAGAGGAGTAGTGTGAGAGCAAGAATCACAGATGAAGTCAGTGCCTTACAGAATCAGGCCGTAGCCGTCCAGGTCGCTCAATCCCGAGATAGTGTAGATCAGGATACTTTTCTGGCACGTCAGTAATAATGTTCTGTGCATTAAGGGTCAGCAAGTTCAAACGTGCAAAGGATCATGGGATCCACCTCGAAAATCTCGTTATATCTCCAGATGCTACCCCAGTTATACGAAGCTCCCTTCGGCACCTGTATCTCCGCCCATGGAAGCTTGATGTTGTGGCAGTTGTCGTGGCCGGGAAGGTATGCGCGGACCAGAACCTGCCTCTTCCGCGCACCGTGGTCCTTTCGTGCGGCATCAGCAAGGGCCTCTTGCACCTCATCCGCCCAGCTGCTCATCGCGTGTCCAAAGAGTTCGATGACTCCGTCAAGCCCTGGCTTGGCATCCTTGAAAGGTGCAGGCTCCCCCACTCCATACCCGCCGAATAATGTCGTCGTCCAGTGCCCACCGGTGCTCACGACCAGCGTGCTGTATCCGCCCTCCAAGAAGATCGGGAGGTATTCTTTCGGGCTGAGTGACCACGCTGCCTCCTTCGAGAACAGTGAAAAGTTGGCGGCGGTGTTTGGATGCAGTTTTTCGTGAATATGTTCAAGCTCTTCCTGCGTTAGGAGGAGATCGACGCGCCGGAACGTTGCGAGGGGAGTTTTGGCGATGTCAAAGCCTGTGGGGATGAACAGGTCCTTGACGAGGGGAGAGTCGGGGTTGAGGTATAGGTTCTGCGGCCACGCGCGGTCAAAGTAGGAGTTTGGGGTATATGTGGGCGTCGCGATGACATGCGGGTAGAGGCTACACGAGAGCGAGAAGAAGTGACCTTCGGTGATGCTGTCGCCCAGCAACAGCCATCCGCCCTGTTCGACCATGTCCCGCACCACGCTTTCCTTGTCAAACACCTCCAGTCCCTCACATCCGTCGGCCTTCCCGACACTCCATCGGTAGGATTGTGCCCTGGGAAAGCGGCCATAATGAGCTGGGTTGTCCGAGGCAAGATGCCAATCAACCTCGCGTGAGCTGGCGCAGCCCGCGAAGCCAGAGAACTCCAACGCCTGGATCTTCTCCGTCATGTTTTTGGCGCTAGTCCGATAGTGTGGCCCCTCCCATCGACCATTTCCAAATGCTCTGGGTGGGCATCTGCCTGGTAAGACGTCGAAGTTGAATCCTGAAGGTTCCGTAGATAGAAAGCGTGGTCGTGGTGCATAGATGTAGAGAAAAAGAAGAAAGGTGCATGAAGTTCCCAGAACTAGAATTTTGGCCGAAAGTGACCGAAAATTCACGTTTCCAATGGTCAGGGCCATGAGGGAGAAATGAGGTCAACCCAGTGCTGCTGCGTTGCCACCGCTTGAAATTTAGACACAGCCACCGCCAAGCACGCGCTATTCCCGGACTTCTTACTTTCACAGTCGTCGGTCACGGTCGGTGTTCGCTCTAGAGTCTGGAGGAGATCTGTAAAAGTCAATTTTGGGAGACAACAAGTAAATTCATTGACATGGAAATTTGAAGTGTTGGGAACAGGCTTTGACTTATCATCTCGATTAGCCAGCGGTGATTTGGCAACGTTAAGCTTCCAGTACCCACTGCGCTCGTTAGCTGAGGACTTTCTGAGCACAAAAAATGTCGATGAACATTGAATGTTGAGCGCGATCCTGAAGCCGAGAAGAAGAATCCAGCCGAGGACGATTGAGTGGAAAATATTTTTTACTCTCTGAGCAGAGCGGCTGAGGAGATGCGAATATGGCAACATCTATAAGTTTGTCATTGAAGGGCCTTTGTCAATGTCTACCAGGATCTTCTGAGGTCGGTTCAACGGCTGCGGCATTTGGCAATTTGGGCAGGTTCCTTCGAGCGTTATGAAGAGTGCGCATTCTCGTCATATGCAGTCTTTGTAAACCAGGTGTAAGTAACGCCGGTGATCGTCGCATTCATTGCTCAATTTTGTGTGCTGTATAACCGAACCCAAACCCAGTGGTCCACTACGCCACAATCATGTACGTCCATCCTTCCGGATTTTCGCCTGATTTCTAGTCCGAATTCTGTCATTCACGTCAGTTCACGTCGCTGTGTAAATAGAGCACATGCTCCCTTTTACTAGGAGACATTTTAGAGTTCTCTACTCGCCACACGAGACGGATCTTATCAGGGTGATCGGCCATCCGACCCTTATTTGCGATAAAGGAAAAAGGCAAATAGTTGCACGTGGACTTCACCTGATCTGACTCGATCATCGAAAAAAGTGAATGCTCTCGTTCTTGCGCCCTCTCTTTATCCCCAGACCCGCCAATTTCGCATTTACGAACCATCGACGCGCAGATTTTATCAGAAAAATGGCCACTGAACCCACCGGAACCCACAAGGACCCCGTCACTGGGGAGTTGATTTCCAAGCAGTAAGCTGGTCTGCGATATACGATGGTCATTTATCGATGAGAATTCCAGGGAGCTTAAGCGTCGCGAAAAGCAGAGACAAAAGGAGGCCAACAAGGCCGCAAAGGCTCCTGCACCTCAGGCAAAGGCTAAGGATGAGGCCAAGGCTGGACCCAATGTGGATGATCTCAACCCAAATGTGTGTCTTGTGATAAGCAATATCCGGATTTTTTCAAGCTTATCTTCCATCTCTCTTCAGCAATACTATGAGTTACGGTCACGTCAAATTCTCAATCTAAAGGAAACGCAGTCCCCTGCTCCATACCCCCACAAGTTCCATGTTTCGAGCTCACTCGCCTCATTCATCAAGAAGTATGGCGGAGAGGGTACAATCACCGCTGGAAACAAGTTGGAAGGCGTTACAGAGAGCCTAGCTGGACGAATTCACAATATCCGCGCCGCTGGCTCCAAACTCAGGTTCTATGACCTACACGGCGAAGGATACAAGGTCCAGATTATGGCCACCCAAC